TTATATATCTTCTTTGGAGAAATGCTTATTAAGTTCCTTTGCCCATTTTTAAATAAGGCTGGTTTTTTTTTCTGATTTTTTTTTTCTACTGAGTAGTAGGATTTCCTATATGTTTTGGATAGTAACCATTTACCATATATATGGTTTACAAATATTTTCTCCCCTTCTCTAGGTTGCCTTTTCATTATGTTGATTGTTTCTTTCTCTGTGTAGATGCTTTTTGGTTTGATGAAGTCCCACTTGTCTATTTTTGCTCTTTACCTGTGCTTTTGGGGTTGTGTCCAAGAAATCATTGCCAAGACCATTGTCAAGAAGCATTTTCTTTATACTTTCTTCTAGGAATTTATAGTTCCAGGTCTTATATTTAAATCTTTAATTCTTTTTAAGCAAATTTTTTGTGCATGGGTAAGATAAGGTTCAATTTCAGTCTTCTGCATGTGGATATCCAGTTTTCTCAGCACCATTTATTGAAGAGACTATCTTTTCTCCATTGTGTGTCTTGGTGCTTTTGTAGAGGATCACTTGACTGTATATGTGTGGACTTATTTCTGAACACTCTATTCTTTACCATTGGTCTACGTCGGTTTTTATGTCTATAGTTTTGACATTTAAAAAAAAATTTCTACTCTAATCTTTGTTATTTTCTTCCTTTGCATAACTTTGGGTTTAGTTTGTTATTTTTCTAGTTCCTTGAGGTGTAAAGTTAATTTGTTCATTTGAGATTTTTCTTCTCTTAAATGTAGATTTTTATATCTATAAACTTCTGTCTTGGTACCGTTTTCACTGCATTCCATAGGCTTGTTATGTTTTATTTTTGTGGGGGTTTTTTTGTTTTTCTTGAAGTATTTTCTAGTTGCCCTTTTGAATCTGTCCTGTTGTGAAATTGGTATCAAGTTTTACTTATGCAAGATGAGTTAGTTGTAGAGAAACAGCACAGTGCCTATAGTCAACATTACCTTATTAGGCACTTAACATTTTTGTTAAGAGGGTAGATCTCATATTAAATGCCTTTATTGCAAAAAAAAAAAAAGGGAGGGGAAGGACACAAGAAAACTTTTGGAGGTGATGGATATGTTCTTATTGTGATGATTTCATGGGTGTATGCATATATTCAAAATAATAACATTGTATAGGTTAAATATGTGCACTTTCTATTTCAATTATACCTCAATAAAAATGTTTTTTTAAAATAGAAAAGAATGGGACTCCATTGTGGTTATGTTAGTTTAAGTTTGCAACTAGCACCTTGGTAGGGAGGTAGGAATCCACAGGTCTGTGTTAGATTAGCTGAGACAAGTCTCACTGTCGATCAGTCAGGAAAGAGACTCTGGTTAGGTACACAGAAGATGCAGTGAACGAGAGTCACTGGAAGCTCATGGCTCTTTAACAGCTTTAGCTGGTTAGAACCATTGCACTAGGGCACAGTATTCAGTTTTTGTATCCATTAGAGCATTTACGCTGATGTCAGTAGAAAATTGTCCTTAGAAAAATTATCTCCTTGCTGCTAGTTTAGATGTTATGAGCTGGGTTTGAGGAAGGTGAAGTTGGAGGAGTTAGTCTACAGTGGGCTCGGCTTCAGGTCAGCTTTGCTCCTCTCTCTCCTAATCTTTCTTCATCTCAAACAATAAGCACAGGGTGGGAGAATATGTTCTTATAGAAAATAGTTCGTTGAAACAGATTCATTGTAAATACATCAACATGTCTTAAGCATAGAGTTAGAAAGCATAAATACTGTTAACTTTTTGTTATTTACATTCCATTACTTATATCTCAACCAAAAATTGATATTAACTATATGCTCTTTTCTAACTGTGAAGGATAATATATGAACCT